TTACTATTTTTTTTTTAAACAAATCTGATTGAAAAAGATAGGTTTTTTGGGAGGTAGGCATTTGTTAGTTGCTTGATCCAAGGATGTTCTGGAGTGGGCAAAGACTTTGGTATTGGGTGTGGTTATAAATCCCTAAAATTGATTTTTGTCAAGAGAAATTACAAGGGAGGTGCATTCAATTTCTTTACATTTTCTAGGTGTAAAATAGCTCTGGTTTGCCTCGTTTTGGGGTTGAGCTATGCATTGTGTAGTCAGTAAGGAGAGATAATAAAACCAATGATGAAATGCAGAGGATTTTTGTGCAGGTTTTTTGGACAGTATTAGCTAGCTCAGATAAGAGCAATATTGGTTGGCAAAAGTGAGATGCTTCCTGGTATAACAGAGGGGTTGTTGGAGAAGCCAAAGTGTGCAGTAGTTACACATGCTGCCACCACACCTGAAAGGGAACAATGTGGCTGCAACCCAAACTTGACCTTATCATGATGATAGATTGTTATTTTATAGCCATGGTAGCTTTGTAGAAAAATCAGTTATTTGAAGGGGACTAATATCCCCCTGGTAAGCTGTTGCTTATCGCTTATGCTGTACAACAGAGACTACAGTCAGCTATTTTTCTCAGGAGTTTAAAATGTCTTTAGGCGTACAGTTTTAGAGGGTTGGTCTTAAATGAAAGTCTGATACTTTGCAGGTCCTGTAGAAGTTAAAACAGATGAGCATCCTCGTCATGGAAGTAACTTGGAAACAATGGCTAAGTTAAAACCTTGCTTTCTGACTGATGGAACTGGGACAGTAACTGCAGCTAATGCCTCAGGTTTGTCGGTGGCTGAAACAAAATTCAGTAGCACAGTATCTGTAGCGTATAGTCACAAATGCATGGACCATGGGTAGGAACTTGAATACGAGTGGTGGTATGTTGTTTAGGAGGAACTTTCTTTTTTACATCAACCCTGAATCAGTTTAACTCTTTTTTTCAAATCTCAGTGGCTTGTCTTGACACACAGACAGAGCTGTTTGTTAATGGTGTGTAAGTTCACTAACCTCTCCATTTCATAATCTAACTGCATTTCTGGTTGTCCTTCCCACTTTTTTAAATGGGAAAAGTAGAAATATGGTGATTAGTTAATTCTGAATGTTCCATAACATTATAATGTCACTAGTTAAGAAAAATCAAATTTCTATTACTCTGGGACTCTTTCCTGCAGTAGTCTCTATTCCTTCTGTATTGTTCCTTCTGTTGCCCTCCCAACTTGTGTTCCATGCAGCCTCCACCACCATCATTCAGATCATTCCTAAATACTTTCACAAATAATTCAGGGGCTGGTGGTTTATGTGCGTAAGGCTAAGCTGTTAACACATTAAGCCAGATTCTCAACTGCCTTAAATGAGTGTAGCTTTGTCAAAATTAGTGGAGCCATGTGCCAGTATGCTATCTAAAGATCAGTAGTCTGCATACATTACCATTTGCCAAGCCTGTAATTTAGACAGACTTTTTAGGACAGGGATATGTCTGTTTCTAGTGAAATGCCTAGGCTATAACTTAAAGCAGCTGTTTATCACTTTGCAGGTATAAATGATGGAGCTGCAGCTGTAATTCTCATGAAGAAATCAGAAGCTGCTAGAAGAGGCCTTCTTCCTTTGGCACAGATTGTATCTTGGGCACAAGTAGGTTTAGATCCTTCCATAATGGGAGTCGGACCTATTGCAGCAATAAAAAAAGCTGTAAGTAGTATCAGTAAATCGTTGTTGCTGCTGTTTTTAAGACTTGTTGTCTTGACTGTCCACGCTCATTGACATTTTGGGGATGTGTGGTTTTTGTTTGTTTGTTTGTTTGTTTGTTTTTACCTTGCAGAAATTTATATTTAAAAAAAAAAAAAAGAAATTTTATGTTGAAAGAATTCTGTACCCAGGCTAGTAGCAAATAGGAGAGTATATGAGGTTTTGATTGCCTACCCCTTGCCCTCTTTTCCCAAAGCAAGTATTTTATATGAGTGTCTAGAGTCCAGTCTAAGTAGAAACTAGTCTAGTTTACAGAGTGGCTGGCCTAAGTGTCATTTTGGCTTAAGAGTAAGATTTTTTTTTTTTTTTTTTTTTTTTTTTTT